TTTTCGTCGCCCATTCATAACAGAACATTCGCGAAGAGTACTTCCCCACGCGCTACTCCAAGAGCGGCGACGACCTGGACAGCATGCTCGAGTGGATCAAGCTGAACACGGAACGGGATGCGGTCTTTGCCGGCCCCGTGGATATCATCGGCACCGTGCACCTGACCACCAAGCGGCCCATAGTCAACCATGCGCACCTGGAGATGCGTCAGATGGCGTGAGTAGTCCCGATCTGAGCGAGATAGCTCATCGGCTATGCCCCTTTGCTGTCCCGCTCTCATTGGCGTCCATGTCCTCTCTGTGCATGTACTAAAACTTCTGTTGTTTCAGGGAGCGCACAGAGCACGTGTACTCGGTTTACAGTCGTCAGCAGTCGTCGGATATCTACAACCAGTGCGCCCAGCTGAAGATCCAGTACTTGATCATATCGCTGGACGAGTGCACCAACGAAGTGCGGTGAGTAGACACACACGAAACCCTCGAGACGGGCACTCGACGCTTAATTAGTCCAAGCTTTTGAGACCTTGCAATCTTATTCACTTATCGCTTTAATATGCACTTTTGCCTTCTCGCCACAGCGACGATTGCGATCTGCTGGCCATATGGGATGACGAGCAGCCGGCCTACCAAAAATATCCACAGTTCTGCCACGAGCTGCTCCACAAGAACGTGCCCAGCTTCTTGAAGGTGTTCGCCAACGACCACTACGGCATCATCAAGATGTTCTCGCAGAGCGTCCAGATCAACCTCAAGCACAACAAGATGCCCGAGATGTCCATATAGGGTTGGGAGTCCATGGAGGCGGGATGGGGAATCGACTGTGTTGTGTTGCGTTGTACGTAGCTGTGTGAGCTGTGTGACTAGGAATTAGCATTTTACGATGTGTGTATTATGATTACGTTTAGTATTGCCCCAGCCGCGGTCCCCGAACCCATGTCGCACCCGTTCCCAATCCCAATCCCAATCCCAATCCTGCTCCAACTGCAGCTGCAGGGGGGAGATGAGCTGAGTTGAGGCAGCAGATTGCAATTTCCCTTCCGCTAGATAGTAAACTGGATGCATTTAGCAGCTTGACTTGTTTCTCTTGCGATCCGCGCCGCTGCGTTCGGACCTCGTTTGGATCATTCCCCGCGCCCCGCGCCCTCGCATTCGAATAAGTTAATCTAGCCGAGCGGAGCGACCTAAACTCTAAATACTTTCGTTAAGTTTAAGCTAAGCTTTTTACATTTACGCATGTAGTATATGACGATGTGACGTGGGTGGCAGTGAAAGTGGCTGCATGTGGACGATGTGCACCCGGGAGCCACGATCCCAGACCCAACAACAATGCGGGCAAAGCGCATTTGCCCAGCAATAAGTGAAATAAAACTATACATTTGAAACAATCATTTAGCCACCCGTTGTTTGCCTGCATCGTTCGAAATGTTTGCTCTTTTCACTTTCTTCACTCTTTCACATGTTCAGTTAAACAGCAAATGTGCATATTTATTTCTTTTAAAATATATTCAAATCTTTAATTTGCAAAAATTAATTAATTAATATTGCAATTATTTTAATCTTCAACTGCACTTTCCAGGGGTTGTGTCGCAGATACTTACGCGGGGTCGTGTCTCGTCTATCTCGATTATCGTCGACCTTTTATACCGATACTTTTTAATTCTGCCGTCTGCATGTGGGATTTACTTTGTTTCGCCCTTTGGTCACACTAATAATCACAATAATACACGCATTGTCATTAATAAAAAAATAAAATAATCTATATTCGTGGTTTCCATCACGGCCCATACTCATCGCCATCATGCTTTACCTAGAGGACTACCTGGAGATGATCGAGCACCTGCCGCAGGAGCTGCGCGACCGCTTCACGGAGATGCGCGAACTGGATCTCGCTGTCCAGAGTAAGTGCACCCAAATAATCCCTGTTTGCCACTGGACCACTAACCATATACTCCTCCTTGCGGTCTACAGACAACATGGACTCGCTGGACAAGAAAGCGCACCTGTTCTTCAAGCAGTGCAAGCGCGATGAACTGCAGCATGAGTCGATGGACACGGAGTTTCACAGCCTGCGCGGCGAGTACTTTAAGGTGATGGAGGACGCCGACGAGAAGGTGGCCATCGCCACGCAGATCCACGAGCTGGTGGAGCGCTACCTGCGCCGCCTGGACAGCGAGCTCTTCAAGTTCAAGTGCGAGCTAGAGGCGGACAACAACGGCATCACCGAGATCCTCGAGCGGCGCTCCCTGGAGCTGGATGGCAACTCCACTGCCGCCACCGCCCTGCTGCTGAGCATGAACCAGAAGGAGAACCGGTACTACGGTGCCAGTTCGGCCAATACTATGGTCAACAGCTCGTCGGGACACGCATCTGGTGCCGCCACAGGCTCCTCCGGCATTGCACTGGTCAGTGGAGCAGCCGGAACGGGCGGTGCCCTCTCCAGCATCTCCACCGCCCAGCTCGGCTCCAGTCAGCGTCACCGCAAGCTGGAGAAGCGGCGAGAAACCATATGTACCGTGCCTGTTCAGGATAAGCGCGCCAATCTCAATCACTCGCTTCCCATGATCGGGTCAGGATCTACGACTGCTGCGGCGGCCTCCTCTTCGTCCGCCACAACGGCCGCAGTCGCCGCCAGCTTGGCCGCCGCCACCACTGCCCAAACTCATGTCTCCAACCACATTGGCAGCATCGCCGCCACACATCTCACCCTGCCTGTGGCCATGGGCGTGGCCGGCGGCAGTAGCAGTCTGGCTAGCAGCTCCCTTGCCACAGGAACGGGCTCACTGGTCCGCCAACTACCCACGAACCTCGCCCACAGCGTGCTGAGCAGCTCGGGAGGAGCGACCGCGGCCACGGTAGCGGGCGCAACATCCACGCCCGTGGTTCCTGCTGGTTCGGCACACGGGCATGCCCATGCCAGTGGTCATTCGACCAGCGGGGCCACAGTCACTTACAACCTGCAGCAACTTGGCGGAGGAGCCGCCGCATCCAGTGCCATTGCAGCGGCAGCCAGCCAGGCGATCGTGGCCACACAGCAGATGCAGCAGGGCCGCCGAACGGCCAGTCTCAAGGCCAGTTACGAGGCCATACACGGCACAGCGGGCACCACCGCGGAGTTCTGGACCCAAGCCGGGCAAGGGGGACTGCAGCAGTCGACGACCGGATCGGTGACAGTGGCTGCTGGCACAGCGCTGGCCGCCGGCGGTAGTGGCAGCGGCTCGCATCACTCACAGTCGCACCACGGCAGTCATGGGCACGGACATGGTCATGGCCATGGGCATGGGCACCACAGCAGCAGTAGTCACAGCGGCGGGCATAGCGGCGGGCACAGCAGCCACCACCAGGAGAAGAAGCAAAAGAAGAAGCTTACCACTGCTCTCACGTTGCCCACAGTGCAGCCGACGGCCGGCAACTCGATTGGCTCGGCGTCGTCGTCTTCGATTAGCCTGGAATCGGTGAACAAGCTCACTACGTCGGCAGCCTTGGCGGCGGCATCGGCCACGGCGACCTACATGTCTGTGGGTGGACAGACGCTGCTCGCCATGACCGCCGGAAGTGGAGGAAACCTGACGGAGAGTTCTGCTGACAGCGTGCCTGCCGGTTTGATTGCCATGAACCTGCCCACCGCCACGGTAACGCCCGGCTCCAGCCTGACCATCGGCGAGAACGGACTCGTGGTGGAGCAGACGAACGAGGGCGAGTGGTCGTACGATCCCAACGAGCCGCGCTACTGCACCTGCAACCAGGTGTCCTACGGCGACATGGTGGCCTGCGACAACGACGCCTGTCCATACGAGTGGTTCCACTACCCCTGCGTGGGCATCACACAGCCGCCCAAGGGCAAGTGGTACTGCCCCAAGTGCACCGCCTCCATGCGGCGCCGTGGCAACCGAAAGAACTGAGGCTGACTACGCCTGCTGGCGCCCCTTTTCCGTGGCGGGGGCGGCGGCGTGGGCACCTGGTCGCGTCGCTAGCGGCGGTTGTAGAGACAAATAAGCAAATTAAAAGTATTCAATAAAGTTAGATCAGCAAAGGAGGAGCTCTTTGCTTTCAGTTCAGTAGTTGAATTGGCATACCTTTCAATATTTCTGGCGCAATTCTCTAAACATCTGCATTCAAATTTAGAAATTAATTTTTTGTCATTTTTTGATGTTATGATGTTGAAGAAATTCAAAAAATGAAGAAATGTCTCAAGGCTGAAGTTCAAAACTCCATAACTCAAGTTATCTTAATCGGATTTCGACGTGGCATACCTCTAAATGTTTGTGGTGCAATTCTCTAAACATCTGCATTCAAATTTAGAAGTTTATTTTTTTTTTAATTTTTTGTCATTTTTTGATGTTATGATGTTGAAGAAATTCAAAAAATGAAGAAATGTCTCAAGGCTGAAGTTCAAAACTCCATAACTCAAGTTATCTTAATCGGATTTCGACGTGGCATACCTCTAAATATTTGTGGTGCAATTCTCTAAACATCTGCATTCAAATTTAGAAATTTAATTTTTTTGTCATTTTTTGATGTTATGATGTTGAAGAAATTCAACAAAATGAAGAAATGTCCCAAGTCTGAAGTTCTAAACCCCATAACTCAACTTATTTTACTCGGATTTTGAAGTGGCATATCTCTAAATGTTTCTGGCGCAATTATCTAAAAATCTGCATTTAAATCTAGAAATTAGTTCTCAAAAATTTTTTTTTTTAATTTTCTTGTTCCAGGGCTGAAGTTAAAAAGAAAAATTTTGTTTTCATATAATTATTTTTTCCCCAATTTCTACCGATATTCCAGAAAATTTTGAAATTTCTCGTTTGCACTTTCACTAGCTAAGTAACGAGTATCTGATAGTCGGGGAACTAGACTATAGCATTCTATCTTGTTCATTTTAGTTTCATTACTTTTAATGAAGACTCTACGGCTATAATGCCAAAATTATTACTATAGTTGTAGTACATTCGATAGTTCGATTTCAAAAATTCGCGCCCTTTGCCAAATCAAACAGCGTGACCATACAGCGCTCGGTAAACCCTCTGGTCACGCTGAGCAGAAGAAAAGAAAATTTCCAGCGTCATTTGTGCATTGTAAAATTGGTAAACAATAAAAGCGCGTAAACAGGGCTAGAAAAAGCGGAAAAGGAGACTTGAAAACTAGAATTCGACGCAGATCGGTTGGAAAAACGGCCTCAAGATTGGCAAGATACGCAAGAGCAAGAAAATGAGCTACAACGAGAAATCGGAGGCCATCATCAAGGAGGAGTGGCTGCAGCGCCTGGAGCAGTTTCCCTTCAAGCAGGCGGATATGAATCGCCTGATTATGAACTACTTGGTCACAGGTGAGTCACCTTGGTCACCAATCTGCGTCCAGCACCAGCAGCTAACCAAGAAAATTGACGTGATTACTGCTTTTCCACAGAGGGCTTCAAGGAGGCCGCCGAGAAGTTCCAGCACGAGGCGGATCTTGAGCCCAGCGTAGAGCTGAGCAGCCTGGACGAGCGCATACTCATCCGCGAAGCCGTGCAGGCGGGCCGCATCGAGGAGGCCACCCAGCTGGTGAACCAGCTGCATCCGGAGCTGCTCGGCAGCGATCGCTATCTGTTCTTTCACCTGCAGCAGCTGCAACTCATCGAGCTGATCCGCGCCGGCAAGGTGGAGGAGGCCCTGGCCTTCGCCCAGAGCAAGCTGTCCGAGTCCGGCGAGGAGGCCATGTTCGAGCTGGAGCGCACCCTGGCCCTGCTCGCCTTCGAGAAGCCACAGGAGAGCCCCTTCGCCGACCTGCTGGAGCAGTCGTACCGCCAGAAGATTGCCAGCGAGCTGAACTCGGCCATCCTGCGCTGCGAGCACAGCGAGGACTCCACACCTAAGATGATGTTCCTGCTCAAGCTGATCTTGTGGGCCCAGTCCAAGCTAGACAGCCGCTCCATCAGCTATCCCAAGATGAAGAACCTCGAGACGGCGCATCTGGAGCCCAAGTAGACGGGCAGAGCAGAGCGTAAGTGCGGTCGGGTTCGCCCCCCCTTCGACTTCTTTTGCTAATGCTATTGCTATTATATATATCTCTTTTTAATAAGTATGTATGTATGTATGCTGGATGTACGCAGTGAATTATTAAATAAGTAGCCGGAAACTTCATCCGCCTTTTCATTCCTTTTCACCAGCCAAATATTAGGTCCATGGCCTTGTCCATCAGTCCGGAGCTCTTCTGGGGCACATCCTTCGCTTGCGAAATGGAATCTTCGTTGCGAGCCAGCTTGTACGATTGCTGGGCAAAGGGACGGATCGAACTGGGGCTGAGGGGGGGATCTACTGTTTCTGCATTGGCCGGAAAACTGATGTTCTCCTTATCGAGCACCGAGCGCTCCATGCAGCGGGCCACGCCCACCATCACATTGCCGGCGATAATCTTTTGGTTGTAGTTCAGCGCCTTGTCGCTTTCGATGCGCGATGAGAAGCGCACATGCATCCAGTTGCCGTTCTGCGGGGCATGCACCACATCCACAATGGTTCCGCAGACGGTGAAGTGCTGCAGTACCATGGAGCTGGCCCCCGACGAAAATCCAAAGATTGTCACCCAAAAGTCGGCCAGGCGAGAGTTGGCGCCCGCTGTCACCGAGTGATTGGCTCCCAGCGGGGAGCATAGTACCCGCATGGACGCGTTGGTGGCATTGAGCGCCCCGGGGGCAAAGGAATCGTTGGTGTGATAGCTGCTCTGGTAGCTCTGGTTCGGCGACTGCAGCTGCAGCATGCCAAGATGGTTACGCTGCTGCGGCGTGACGGCCTGTTCCCGCAGTGAGTCGAAGAGTCCGTGGATGGGCGGCCCCGCCTGGTGGTGGCTGTGCGACTGGGCGTGGCCGGGCGTTGTGCCGCTTGCGCCCACAGCCGTGTGCGAGACATTGTGGCCAACCGGCGGGCCTCCTTGTGCGGCGAACAGAGTGCGGGTGTTCAGAGCGGAGCGGTTGAGCTCGTGGGGACTGCTGCCGCCGGGCGAGGTAGCTGAAGCGGGAGGGGGAAAGAGGGATTCGTTCATATATGTAGACTCGATGCGCACGACCTGCCCAATGCCCGCGACTTACCGAAACTGACATTATAGCGCCCGGTCTTCGGGGATAGCGTGTTCTTGTGCGGCGTCAGACTTTGAGGATCGCCGAGGAGGAAGGGCGGCAGGTACTGGCTCGGGTTGGAGGCGGGGCTGTTGACCGGACTGCCGAGGTTCATGGGCTCCATAGCGATAAGTAATAATAATAATTTAGTAAATGCCAAAATGCCTAATTGCCCGAAAAAAACTAAAAACGAACGTTGATTTAACAAAGACGCCACAGCTGTAAGTGGTAAGTGTGACCGTACTGGGCTTGGGCCGAAATACCCCTTTGCTCGCAGTTGCGCAGGGCATTTTGCAGCACTCTGACTGCCACTGGGCTCATTTCGTTTTCACAGAACGGTCACTCTAGCGGCCACTTTTGAATAACAGCAGCACGCGTCGCGTCTCTCCGTCATTTTTCTTATTTTTTTTTTACATTAAACTACACTACGCTCTCCTGGCATTTCGGTCGTGTCGCGCGTGATTAAATTGGCAACAAAGAACAACAATAAAAGCCCAGTGTGCGCGCAGCGTTAAGCAGCAACAAACACAACGATCAGTGAAAACAAAACACCGTGACAACAACAATCAAAATTACAAAGGCAACGAAGAGGAAGCAAAAGGCAGGACCTTCGCAGCGAGAGCGAGATAGCAAAGGATCGGGAGAGAGCGAGAGAGTGCGATTTGATCAACGGGATACAGGGTGACATGTGGAGTCCGACGCACTGCAGTGTAACGGGTAAGTGGGGGGCGAAAAGCGGGGGACACCCGTTTTAGTATTCGTATGTTATTTTTTTTTGTTTTTTTTTTTACGGCAAATAAATCGCATTAAAACTTAAACTCGTTTGTGCCGCGCGTGTATGGGTGTGTAGCTGGCTTGGTTGTGTTGGTGTGAGCTTAAAATATTGTCATGTCGGTCTTGTTGCTGCTGTTGCTTTTGCTTTTGCTGCAGACGTACCTATCCGAAATTTCACTTTTTCACCACTGCGCGCTTCCACCTCTTGCCTCTCGCCTATTGCTCTTATTCTTCTGTTCTCCTGACTCCAGCAAATGCCTCTTTATCAGGGTTTTTCTGGCTGATAAGATAATTGCCTTGCTTGAACGCACTTACTCATCGCAGTGCTAGAAAATTGCTCATGCTAAGCGCTCCCCTTATGTATTTTTACCGCCTCCCCCCGCCCCACCGTGGCATTCCTTCACTCACGCCCATGGTGGCGCTTGTTTTGGGGCCTCTTGTTTACCTTTACCATTGTTTTCGTTTTGCGTTTTCTTCAGGGCTGAATGTCAATGAGAAATCGCGAATTCCAATTCCAAATTCGTGACAAAACACAAAGCGCGCTCATTCTGCTGTTCCCACTTTAGCGATTATGGAAACAAATAACTGGCATAGCTAACGCATGGATATGTAAAATCTCTCAAATGGCAAATAACGCCCTTTTGGAACGATTTTGGCAGTTACCCCCAGTATTTGGGGCACCACTAGGCACAATAAGGTTGCATTAGTGGCCGCTGGCCAAAGTAAATGACTCACAATTTGTGGCCCAATCTAGAGCTTCGTGGAATGTTGACAAATCAAGAAGATAAACACCCTGGGTTCCATAGACATGGACGGATCCAGCTTATTGTGGTCTTGAACTTGCCCCGCTATCAGTTAGTACGTTCTTTGCTTCACTTCACTTGCTCATTTCATTTCATATCATTTATTTTGCATATTTGCACAGCGCACAGTGTTTTATTCCAGCAATTTGCGATTAAAACACAGAGCCGTTGACGTCACGGCGAATGAGCAAACAAATCATCGCCGTGTGGCTCTCCCAAATTCGCCGAGTTTCGCCTTGTTTGTATAAGTTTATATATATGTATGTATGTGTATAGATATATGCAGGCACATAAATACACCTGTCAATATTTGCCAATTTCTTGGCGAGAATGAGATGAGCGCACGCTTTGGAAACAGCTGTTTTCGCCGCTGTTCTCAAGCGCACTCTGTTCCCGCTCCTTTGGAACGTAAAGGTGTTCCCTCACAGAGAGAAATTGGGACTTAAATGGATTCTCTTTCTTGTTTTGTCTGCAAAAAGTTCAATTTTCTACTGTTTTGTACTCAGCGTATGACTTTATAAATGCAGGCTTAGACATTTTTCGTATTTACCAGATTTCTAAATTATGTGAATCTCTTTCCATTATAAGAAATAGAATTTGTTCTTCCCAGTGTGCGTTAGTTATTTCCCCTGTTAGATCATCCACCAAACACCTGGAGTCCCACCATCTCATTAGTGGCCTGTTGTTTGGGAACCATTTAGTCTAGGAGTGTTCCTTATCGACTGCGACTCCACCCAATCGGCCCATTGCGTGCCTTATTTTTAGCCGTAAATTCTTGGCCGCCACTCACTCACTAACTCACTCACTCGGTTACTTACTCCAACTCGCACATCTACGGACACACCTACTGAATAAATGCTTAAAATATCTGAAAATGAAAATTCCTCAGCGGGAAATTGTGCAATGAGCGGCGGGCAGCCAAGCAGACCCAAACAAAACAGACGCCTAATTTTCCTTTTCATTTCCATTTCGGTTTTTGGTCTATGTGTGGTTTTGCTTTTGCAACGCATTTCATGCGGTTGCAGTGAAAATCAGAGCAGGCCACCCCGCCATTTGTTATTGATAAGGAATACCTGCTAAGGGGAATTCAGGAATCACCTGCCAAACATATGGCAACTACAGTTTCTGGCCGCTTTTCATTTTAAACAATCCATTACTCATGTAAGAAATTCCTAGTCGCGCCAAAACTTGTATTTATACTGATAAAAATATAATGAAACCATTTGTTAAAGTTAAATAACACAGTCACCAGTTGAATTTCCGACTTCTGATCCTTTTAAGTAAGCTGTTAGTCATGTAACAACAATAAATATAAAATCTAACATAATTGCTGGAAACGATTCTAGAATCTGTAGAACTATAGACGTTGACATAGAGAACTAATCTTCTGGGCAGGTTCTACTGTATTTCCTACTATCACTAAATCGATAAGAAAATCAGTGCGATAAGAGCTGGAGCTGAGGCACCGCTGGTCACGTCAGCGGACAGATGGCGTCTTGAGATTGTGTCCACCTCTTCCGCACCCGGCTCGCAATGCCACCGTCCATGTGAGACCGTTTTAATGCGGCTCTGTCGATGCACTTATGCGAAACAGTTACGTTCCATTGCCCGACCCATTTAGCCAGAATAGAACCAAACAAACCGAAGCGGATCGGATGAATCGGATGGGGATGGGGTTGGGCTTGGGGCTGAAGCTGGGAGCAGGGAGCAGGGAGAGAATTGTGAGGAAAACAGGTCTGGCATGGGATGGAATCACTGGCCGAAACTCTCTTCGCAGCGCGGGTCTGCAATTGATCAATTCCAGTTTCTTCAGTTCTTGGCCAGTGGCCACATTCCTCCGGCGCTTGCCGAACCACCGCGCCCCAACCCAAACACATCCTCCCCTGAATATTCATGCTGGGAATCTCTCATTCTCGGATTCTTTCAGCCTCAGGCATTTATATTCAAAACATGCCATGGCAAACAGAAGCCAGCCCCTGCTCTAGCTCTAGCTCCAGCTCCAACTCCAACTCCAGCTCAAACTCCAACTCCAGCTCCAACTAAAATGCTAATCGCCTTTCGTTTGGGAAAACTGTGTTTCATGTCTTCTGCTGTCTGTTTTCCATTTCAAAATCGCACGGCTTCGTGGGTTCAATGCTTGCGAGAAAGAAATTGTTTATGCATAACAATAAAATGATCCGCTGTTAGATGGTGGGATCCATTGATAGACCGTTTACTTTGATCGCCGCCTCTGCACATTTTCGCATTTTCGCACGATCCGCACACATGTATATATGCACATGTACATTGCTCGATGTTGCAGTTGCAACATTAATTGTTGCTAATGCTTTTCATCAAACGGGATCTGTGCTGTAATGCGGGGCTATAAAGACGAGGATTGCCGCCGTGTCTTGGCCCCCAGTTTGGTTAGCTTGTAGCACGTGCTTAACCCGAGTTGGAACCCTGAACCCTGAACCCTAAACCCCGAACCATGAACCCTTCACATTTCGATTGGGGAACTCGTTGGGAAAGAGCAGTCCAAAAGTGGGTCTTTAGAAGAACGGTCTTCCGAAATGGGAGCTAGCAAGTGGCTCATTAGCATGCGTGGTTGATGCCCATGCCCCAAGGAGCATTGGCCTCGGGTAGCAGTTTGCTGTGTGTACAGATACATTTACATATCTACACTCGGCCACGCCCTCGCTCCGCCCCCGAAAAAGAGTGCGAGAGCTGAGAAAGTGGAACATGAAAGTGCGTGCTGGGAATTCCGCGTTTAAAGTGCGCTATAAGAGGCAGCAGCTTTAGAAGCTTTTTATGATTGCGATGCACTGTAAATGTATCTGTATCTGTGTCTGTATCTGTGTCTGTATCTGTATCTGTATCTGCGGGTTGGGCGAGGGCTGGCGGGGATCGGGCCAGCCAATTAGGTTTCACACACGCATACACACATATGAATAATCCCGTGACTTGTGCGATCACTTCATTCCAAGTTTCTCTTTGGGAAATGTGCAGTGGAATTGGAAATGGTCACCTGTGGAGCATCAAAGCACTGCACACTGCCGCAGAAGCCAGAAAAGCAGCCGGGAAATCAAACAAACAAGACAAGGCACACCGAGAAATGATTTCATTGAAATTAATTAACCCAAAAGTTGACCTCTCCCCTCCGCCTCCCATGTACACACACACAGAGGCGAGTCAGAAAGGTCAACAATATGCGACGGCAGATGTTGATTCTATTGTCTGCCGTCTCTCTGGGGTCGCATAAAACAAAAAACAAAGGTGCAGCCGCCTGTTTGCTTGCCTCGCCACGGAGGCTTTTAGCCATAATTGACTGTAAACTAGGGGGAGCAATTGGGGTTTTAATCATGCCGGTGGCAGTTCCAATGCCCCCACCAGCACCAGTACCCGTACCAGGCCAGTATCAGGAATTATATTCCAGTAGCCCAGAATCGAAATCGAATGAGCATCGGGCCAGCAGCGAGAAATTTCTCTTTTTGGCATCGAAGCCAGCCGTTATTTTCGGCTTATTTGGGCCACACGAGCAGTAAACGAGCGACAGGTGACTCATGGAGCAATCCAGACCCATGAGTAAGCCAGCCAGACGATCCTTTCCTGGATTTTTCGGCCCCATGTCATAGATAACTTGTACACTTCTGGCACTGTCGATACAAATTGAATTGAATCGCGCCGCCCCTTGCACGTGATTAAATCGAAATTGAGTTGGGAAAAGTGCTTCTGTTTTGGCACTGCCTTTTATCGCCTCTCAATCGGATCGAAGCACTCGGGGGCACTGGGTGCGCACATCATGCTGATCTTCGCCAGGCGAAAATCAAATGCGCAACTATGCGGCACAGTGGGCTAGAAAGTGAGTGAATCAGGCGCAAATTATGATGTTTAAGACCCAAAAGTGGCACTTCAGAGTGCCCGAAATGAATCACCCTTGGCCCACGGTGCTGGCAGCGTCATTAGTTTCGAGAGGCGGCCATAAAAGCGGACCAACTTAACGGTTTCGCCGTTGGTGGATTGCTATTTGGATTTGGTTTTGCTTTTGCTTTTGCTTTTGGCTGTGTTTTTGACGCTGCCTGCCTTGTTTTTCGTTTTATTTTACTTTTCGCTTCTTACCATTTTGCCATTTTGCCATTTAGCATTTGGCATTTCTATTTTGGGGCACCCCTCCATGCAAAACACCACCGCCATCGTCGCGTTATGAAGGGGAATCGGCTGGGCAGACAGACAGGCAGAGGAGTCCATCGATCTCTGGCGGATTTGCATGAACCGCTGCACGAAATTGCCGGGCGGGTTATTGACAGCCATACTCGTGGCCATCCATCTTTCCGTCCATGAGCTGCTAGCTGTTAGTTGTTAGCTATTAGCTGATAGCTCGCGAAACACCAAGCCCAGAGCGACCCGAAGATGAGCAGGTTGCTCCGCTATGGTCGCCACTCATTGATCTGCGGCAGCTGCTGGATTATCGATATTAGCCCAGAGGCTAAGACGCTGCCCCGTCTTTAGCCTCAATGATTAGTACAAAAAAAGCGGGGGGAAAACGGGAAAAACGAGCGACGGCACGGCAGAAGCAGCGGAAAACATTACAAATTGGCTTACAGGCATGCAGACGGGAAAAACTGTTAATGCGATAATAATTATGAGACGCCCACTCCCCGGAAAATGCGAAGGGAAAAGCCCTAAGATGTGCCACTTGCGCCCGAACAGAAACCGAAACTGAAACCGAAACCGAAGACACCGAAAATGATGCACAAATCTGCAGGCCAGGCCCATTGTTTCTGCGCTTTCCCGCTTTTCTTGTAGTCAATTTTCACCGCCTTTCGTTGACACCGCTTTTCACTTTTTGCCTTCTTGCTTATGACCGGTAATTGCTTCTTTTCCCTTCAACGCTTTTGGTTTTTCTCCCCTTTCCTTTAATTTTTCTTCTACTTTTTGGCATTACGAAACGTTGGAAAAACAGTTGCGAAAAACAGACTTTGTGCAAGTGCCCAATCCCATTTGAATAATCGAAATGTGTGGCGATTGCCGGGGAGGAGCAGGAGGAGGAGTGTCTGTCCAACGATTTCCACATGTGGGGTGATGAACATCTGGGCAGTGGAATGACCGGAATGACCCGGGCCAAGCCAAAAATAGATGCCTCCGTTGATCAGCGGACTTCGGGCTTCGGGCTCTGTTCCGTTTTGTTCTGGCAATGACTTAATTTTCGTCTTCATTTACATTTCGACGCCGATTCCAACTCCAATTACCGCTTCCGGCAGCTGTGCACCCAAAACAGCAGTGAACTGGAATCGGAGACGGCGCCGAGGTCTACGCAAAGAAATAAAACCAGAAAAGAAACACCCAACACCACAGGCAATCCAAGCCAGCGATTGTCGTCAATCGCTCGAGTGAATCACTAGCCAAAATATATGTTGCCGATGCTCCGTCCAGCGGATCCAAAAGCAAATTTCGAGTTTCACCCGAGCGCCTCGTGACCTCGAGAGCCCGACCAGAGCATCCGGCAGATATGAAAGCCACCACCGCGCCACAACCGACACGCCAACCACGCAAACCGCGATTCGCATCCCATCCCATTCCATGCCATCGCCATCGCCAATCCCAAACACTCAAACTCTCAATCCCAGCATTGTTTGCGGCCGGCCGACTCCTCCAGATACATTTATGTATCTGTGCATGTCACCGGCATTTGCTTTCCAGATCATATTCCATGATCCGGACGCTTCTTTCCTACGCTCCATTTGTCACATTTAGCTGAGGCCGAAAATGTCATGAGCATGACATACAATATTTCGGTGAGAAATAATCATTGAGCTTGGCGTACAAATATTATAAACATGAGCGATATATTTGGTAGCCTAACAGAGACCTTCACTCATTTTGTGCTGTGGATTGTCGATGCATTGGGATGTGACTCAAATCGCCTGACATCGAGTAAACAATTAGCAATGCCCCCGAAACTATCAGCCAGCCTAAACGAAGCTGTAATCTTTCCCACATTTCTATACCATTGCAGTGCAGCGAGCGCGTGGGCTGCTTACCAAGGGCAAGAATGGCACCAACAACTGCTTCGTCACCATTGCACTGGGCAAGGAGAAGTACCAGACGTCCGTCAAGGACAAGGCCGAGACGAGCGTCAACTGGAACGAGGAGTGCGAATTGTAAGTCCAGAGTTTAGGGCTCCTTTGGCTGAGCATGGTGCTAAAACATTCTTCATTCCTCCACACAGGAAAATCCCCGATCAGGGCAATCGCGCCGAGCTCACTTTGACCTGCCTGCACAGGAACAATCTGGGCATCGATGAGTTCCTCGGCCAGGCCACGCTGCCCCTCAACGAGATGGATGTGTACGATCGGCCACGTGCCAAGTGGTTCAAGCTGGAGAGCAAGCCCGGCAAGGAGAAGAAGAACAAGGAGCGCGGCGAGCTGGAGGTGCGCATCGCCTTCGTGGTCAAGTCTGGCTCGCTGACTGACCTCAGCAAGAAGGACAAGCACAAGTCTTCCATTGGCCAGCTGGCCAGCTCCGTGGGTGGCAGCCTGCTGTCCATCGGCAACGGCGAGAAGCGCCGCAGCATCAAGAAGCTGGCTGGCTCGCTTAGCTCCAAGCTGCACATTCGCAGCAAGAAGAAGAACCAGGAGCCGGGCGCCGACGACAGCAGCTCCTTCGGCGGCTCCTTTGCCAGCCTGGGCACGCCAAACAGCTCCAACGGCAGAGCCCAGAATGGCGGCAGTGGCCGGCGCCGAGGCGGCCAGCGGGCGGGCGAAGCCGATCCCGGCGTGATCAGCGAGGATGAGGACGAGTTCGTGTTCGACAACCTCTCGCACAAGAGCTCCGGCAGCTCACTCAACATCCAACGCGTCGGCCTGCAGCCGCCGCCAGTCGGTACGCCCAACTTTGCTCCGCGTCACCCATCGCCCCTGCTGAACAACGGAGGAGTTAGTGGCGTCGGAAGCGGCAGCGCGAAAGGTAAGCCAGCGGTTTTGCCAGCGACGCTCGATGAGGATGCGCCCATCGACGCGGAGATGGAACAGCTTGAGCTCGATTTCAGTGTTCGTGCCCACGCCCGCACCAACGCCAACGCCAGCGCCAGCGCCAGTGGAAGTGCCAGCAACGTGCCGCCTCCCTCGAAACCACCGCGCATCCCCCTTTCGCAGGTGGAGGAGCAGCCTGCTGCCGGAATTCTGGAGCGGGAAAAGCCAAGGGAGAAGCCCGTCGAGCTGGAGAGCTCCAAGGATGAGTGGGCGTCAAAGTTGTATGGCGGTGGAAAGTACCTGGAGATCGGTAGCAGTGACTCGTTGAAGCGTCGCAGTTGGGAGGACCGAGTTCCGCTCCCCGCCAGTGTCGAGGAGCCGCCCCCAGTGCCCTCGTCCAGCTCGTCGTCTAGTTCCAGCTCTAGTTCGGACAGCGATGATGACGACGAGAACCCGCCGCAGGCAGCTCCTCCACCAGTACCCGTGCCGGCATCTGTTCCATCGGCTGCTGCTGACCCAGTGGTGGCCACTGCATCCTCACTCTTCTCTCCCGAAGTTGAGCACCGCAACTTTGATACCTTCAACGCCAGTTTCGCCAAGTACGAGCAGCGAAACAGCACTGCTATTTTTGCAGATGAGCCCGAGCTGGAAGATCTAACAGTGGAGCTGGAGAAGTCTGTGCCCACTCCCACAGCACGCCCCAAGCCGCAGCCACGTGCTGTGGCCGATCTGAGGGAGGAGGAGGAGAAGGCAAAGGAAGAGGCTGCACGGCAACTGCGTGCCGAGGAGGATGCCCGCTTGGAGGCGGAGCTGCGTCTCAATGAGGAGCGCCTGCGTGAGGAAGAGGAGGCTATGCAGCGAGAGCTGGAGGAAGAGAAGGAGCGCCAAAAGCAGCTGCAGATGGATGAGCAGCAGCGGCGTGAGGCCAAGCGCTGGGAAGAGGACCAAAGGCTTTTGAGCTTTGCCAAGCGGTCCACATCCCTCGAGGAGCCAGCCACAGAGAAGCAGGGGCTGAAGCATGAGAGGGAACTCGTGGCCAAACAGGAGGCGGAGGTAGAAACGGCTGAGCCGGAGCACAACTTCCTAACGCCCGAGCAGTCGCCCAAGGAGTTCCAAACGAATGGCAGTGGCAGAGGGAGCGGGAGCGGGGAGCGCTGGGAAAAGCGACTGGGCAAATTCAAATACGCCAACAAGCGAGGTGAGCTGATGTACCCGAAACGAATCCGAATCCGAAACCGATACCGAACCATATCCAGAGCAACCAAAACCACTGAATCACTGCAATTCCCCACTACTCCAAAAAAAAATCTGGCGGCGGGCGGGGAGTATGGCATAATGCTGGCGGATCGCGAAGCGCACACGAAACCGAATCCGAATCAAGCTAACTTCCAGTCAACGCTGTCATCTGTCGCGTCATCCTCCTCCAAGGCGATTCCTATGCCCCTTCAGTCAACCTCTTTTCCCACATTACCTGTCTGAATTTCCTGTCTTTCCCCTTGGCTGTTTTGTGTTGTTTCCGTTGTGTTTCTCGCATCCGCCAGTGAATTTGCATCTGAGTTTGAACCATCTGTGCTCCTCCCCCATCCGCGCATCTCCTTCTCAGTATCTAAACTGACCAGTTTCAATTTCCCTGCTCCGCAGATAAATACAACAACGACAACGATAGCAACTCGCCCAGTCCCAAGTCCACGGAGCGCATCATAATTGGTCACGAGAAGTCGGGATCGCATGCGGAACGCCGCTCGGAGATATCCGCCCAGCTGGCCAAGAAATACGAGGGCAAGTCCCGCGAGGTAAGTGGCATTGTCATACTGTGCCTGTGATCAAAGCGCTCATACAATTGCATACCGCCAGGAACTGATGCTAATTGCCAACGGAATGGAGAACGAGGCTCTGCTGCAGCGGCAGCGCGTGAAGGAGCTGGAGGACTATCTGGACAACCTGCTGCTGCGCGTGATGGAGACGCACCCGAAGATCCTGCAGAATCCCTATTCGCGAACCACGTCCGCCAAGAGGTACGGCACCTGGTCGTTCTGGTCGTCCTCTCGCTCGAGAGCCACGCCCACCCACTAACCAATGATGCATGACCTTGACCGCCGGTAGGATTGTTGATAGCCGATAGCAAACAGCCCGCCCCTCCAGATCAAAACTCGGTGTCACACTGGATGGGAATTGAACTCGATATATATTTTATACATGACGTGCTATTCTGTGTTCCGTCCATTGCCATTCGCCTTGAATATGAACAATCCTACTCCGATCTGTATGCGCTTCTCTATTAACTCCGTGTCTTGCCAATTCCCAAACCCAAACCCAAACCTCCAACCACCACCCACACTCGCCACCGATGTTCTCTGTTCGTTTGTGTTCTCGTTTTTGTTTGGCTCCTCTTTTAACCGAATGCATTTTTGTGATTTCTCTTTATTTAGTTATAAAAATTACATCAATATGAATGACTTTCTAAAGTAAGTGCTGCGCATGCTGCAAGTTGCATTTAAGTAGACACTTAACCAACAATCCCCAACAACAACTACATCACCACCACCACCACCACGAACACCATAACCCCCAACAACAACAACGACAAGAACAACAACCAGAACTGCGAGACACGAGTAACAAGAACTAAGGCGCCGCCGGCCGCAAAAAGAAGAGAAGGAACCACTGAGGCGGGATCGAAGTAAGATGAAGCACCGATGACCCACTGACATTCCACCCCATTCTCGCTCTCGCCCGCTCGCTCGCTCTGTCTCTATCCAACAGCTCGCCCCTCTCTTTCCCTTTCGCTGCCTGCTGTGCCGATGTGTCGATGGTTCCCGTGCTCCCCCTTTACTCCCCTAGAGCTTAAGTCTCCCGCCACCCACCACCCGCACCCACCCACTCACCCAGCACTCCAATCCTCACTATAGGTTATACTTATACTTACCCGATCTGTTCTGCATTGCAGCGGCTAAGCAGCCAAACTGGCCCTGGCCGTCGCCAGCAACCGGCTCACTTGTCCCAGAACCGCTGGAGAGGATCTGCGCAGGCTGCTCCGGAAGTCGTTGGATGGAAACGAATCGAAACACCACGTTGCCTTTGCCGCGAGCAGCGAAATTCAAGTGCTTTCTAAAACATATTGCTAAGAGGGAACTAAGTGTACACGTAAAACAGCTAGGCTTAAGCAGTGCAAAATCTTTATTGATATTTTATTGTGTGTAGCATTCGTGCTTTCTGTTCCGTTTATAAACCCGATCCCCCCCACACACACACACACACTAAACAAAACTAAATTAATTGTACTATATGATACTATGTATATCCTGGCAGTTGATGCGACTTGCCCCGCTGCGAGTCTCTTGTCAATTGATTGAAATTATCCGAAAGTATTGTTTGTTTTTTTTTTTGTATGTCCCATTTTTTGCAGTGTTGTACGACAAGAGTTTGTGAAGTTTTTGTAAAGTGCTGCATGGGAAGTGGCCTTAGTGGATTAAGTCTTAAATTATTTATGTTTTAGCAGTTAAGCGAAAAGGGGGGAAGGGGGACCCACCCACGTATGTCCCCCTCGAAAAACACCACACACAGTTGAAATATGTTGATACTACAATGATTTTACTTATTGATATACACGCAAACAAATAAAAACATTTTTAACATTAACAACATATTTTCGGCTCTTAAATGGTACGGATTTTTATTGAAATTGGTAATACAAATAATATACCAAATTGTTTATACTAAGAGCCCTGCGAGTTTACTGATCCTATGCAGTAGTAGTTGGTAGCAAAGCGCCACCTATGAGACACGGTAGCTTGGTTCCTATTGCATGCGGCGTCTATGAAACGCCTGCGCTTCAAGCTTTTGTCTGCTTTCAGGAAACCAATGAGCGCCAAAGTATGCTGCAAAATAAAATAAAAGACCGATAGTCACGAGATTCTCTGAAAATTGCGTTTTTAACAGACTTTATAGAGGTTTACTTAAATTAACAGACTGATTAATTCAAATGCGATGGAATTTGGTCAATTAATTGAACTTATTACCCCAAAGAAGTTGGTCTACAAAAATGCATGGATGCATGGAAATCAATTAGAATAAATTGCAAATACAACAAATAGTTGGCCAAACGCTGTTAATTTGTGCCCATGTTAATTTCATGCTCCTATATAAAACTAAGAAATATATATAACCAGAAGAAGAAATAAGAATAGTATTACGTCCAACATTTTGTTATACGCCTTCCACGCTGATTTCATCCACTTTGTAGGACAGAAAGGCGTGACACGATGCAACAACAGCAGGGCACAGTATCGGCTGAAAATGTTAAGTCGCTTAACAGCGAGCGACGCTGTTAATTGTAGATACAATTCTCTCCGGTGCGATCAGTCTCTCACAGCCAGCGAATAGCTGCGTATCGCATCGCTGCGATCGAGCGCCGAAGAAAATCGAGCCGAGGAAAACGTATTTCCACTTGCCTGACCATAGATATTTTGCTGGCGCAGATCGCACTCGCGACGGCCGATGAAAAGTGCAGTGAATGTACAATATTTGGTTTTTGGTTTTGGTTTTTTTTTTTCCTGTTGCGCGGTTGCCAGTGCGAAAAGAAAAGAAAAGTGCTAATTGTGCAATTGCAATTGCAATTGATTGACACCCGAGCGATCGATCGATCGATCGGTCCATCCATCCGCTTTATCGGGGGGCAGTGCGTTGGATCGTTAGATCATTCAACGTCAAAGATGAAAACATGAAGTCTGCCGCCGTCGCGAATCCGAATTGAAAGCCACTAAATACATAGAAGGCAGCGAAAGGCAGAGCAGCAGACGCAGATCATCGCAGATTACCGCAGATCGCAAACAGCAACCAACGAGTGGAGAAGCGAAAAAGTGAGTGATTTATTTATTGCACAGTCACAGTCGGAGAACCAGAACCAGAACCACAAACAGAACAGAACAGAAACAGAAACAGAAACAGAAACAGGAACAGAACCATAAACAGAAAAAGCAACAGAAGCCGAGGCTCAGGTTATGATTACTTGTGCCCAGCCGCGCCGGCAGAAGCCCACTACTTGCATGCGGAGATCCCCCCGAGGCCCCGGAGTCCGGATCCTCATCTACGATCTCCCATCTCCCATCTTCCATCTCCGATCTCCGATCTCCATCCACTCACGGCTGGTTATGCTATATGCGCTACTATATATGCTGTGTTATGCTTTATGGCTTATGGTTATGCTCGTCTGTTCAGCTTCTGCTTCTGTTTCTGTTTCGGAAGCGGCGGCGATGATCTCCGCATCTCGTGGAGCTGCGGGGCTTGGGGACGGGGACGGCGACGGCGACGGGGAACTGGGGATGCGGACGCAGACACACCGAAATGGAATTGAATTAAATCAAATGATAAAAAATATAAATCGAGTGTAGAAACAGAGGCGAAACAGAGGCAGCCCTCTGTGCGGTGGCGAAAAACAAAAGGACACGGAACAGCAAAAAAGAAGCGAAAAGTCGGAATCGGATCCGCGCGAAAAAAGCGCTGAAAAGCAGAGTCCAAAACTGAGTCCGTATCCGAATCTGAATCAGAATCAGAATCAGCATCAGCATCAGAGAGACGCAATCGTAATCACAGAACCCCTCGTGCAGGGCGGACAACTGACGAGATGGATGGACAGATTGGCTGTGCCATTGGGGGACTACAACTACTCCGGCATGTATGCAGTTGCCGTATTCAGGAACAGAGGCGGAGTGAGATGCAGATACAGAAGCATACAGAAACATACAGAAACATAAGCAGATTCAGATAGAAATTCAGAAACAGGAAGGAGCAGATGCAGATGCAGATGCAGATGCAGATGCAGATGGGATGGCAAGGGTAAACCGGAGGCGCGGACGGCATCCGCACTTGTTGGCTGCTCCTCGGGCTCAGTGTAATAATAATAAATAGGAAATACATTGAACTCCCCGTCTAAACATTGCTTACATAACGCCAGAATGTCAAAATTCCAGTGTAAAAATAAGTACAGATACAGATGCAGTTGCAGATGCGGATAACATTGCCATGGAGGCAACAGATGTACTGTACTTGCACTCCAGATAGGTGACCGCACCGATCTGTATCTCAGTTTCTGCTCCTCTGGACGCTGGCTTTTCAAACTTTGGCATAGGATTGGCCCTTTGGGCTGGGGCTCCACGCCAGATGTCGTGTTCTTGTTTTTCCAGTTGCGTTCTCCTGGGCAGGAGCAACATGGCCAGCACACTTGGGTAAACAGCTCTTTCCGCTCTTTTCACGTGCTGCAATACCATATTGCACTGGCGGAATAAGCCACAGATGCATCGGGTAGTCAAACTAAAATGTATCTTGTTCTAAGTAGATTGAAGTATCTATGAAGTACTTGAAGGCTTGCCAGCTATTAGCTTTACAACTTTGGGCAATTCCAAATGCGAAAGCCGCTTGATCGGGTTGCGTTCCCAGCTCGCAGAAACAGAAACTGATGTTCCTCCTCATCAGCGTTGTTGTCCCATTAAATCCCCCCCTCGTCGCCCCACGAAAAGTGCTTAATGGTTTTGTCGCGTTTGGAATTTACACAGCGCACGAGAGAACGAGAGAAAACAAACAAGACAAATGAAAAGAGGAAAAAACGTGAAAAAAAGCCCAACAGCAGATTCAGAATCATAAAATTCGTGAGCGTTCAGCTGACAGTTTAATAAATGCCGCTGCCGCTCGCTCTGCGCACTCGCATCCATCAGCTTTCATTTGCTGCGGTTGCGATTGCGGTTGCAAGTGGGCGGGCGGGTTCCACAGAGTGCCTCTTCTCGAGACCCCAACGAGGAGCCTCAGTCGCTGGAATTCCTCGCCAGACGCGGGAAGCCCCCCTTTGGCAACCGTTTAACAAGCATTCCGGCTATTTACAGACCGCCAAAAATAACTACTGCCAACAGTCGTTTGAGATAAAGATGCATCTGCAAGTCTTTCTTCTGGTTCACGTGTCCACAAGCCTCTGGGATCACTCCACATTTCTCTGTCATTTGCTTGATCTACTCAAAAGCACAACCCAAAGTCTAATCCCCTGCTGCTGGCCAAGAAATGGTGCCCCAAGATCATGACTTCACTTACTGCTGCCACATCTTTGCATTCTGCTGGGGATTCCGTTTGATGTGCATTTCATTTGAGGTCGCGAGTTAAAAATACGCCAATCTCTCTGCTGCTGCTTTATTTTCTTTGGCAGCGATAACCGCCAGCTGCAAGGGACACCTCCTCCTTCTCCTCCTGCTCCTTCTCCGTCTTCTTCGCCTTCCGCTCTTTGGACACTTTGGTAATTGCATTGGAAAGGCGGCAAGTAAATTGCTGCCCCACTTCGCGCGCCACCCACCCACCTTGGTATTTGGTGGCTTTGGATTCGTTCGGTTGACCCATTTCGGCGGGCACCTCCTGCTCCGCCTGCTCCTGCTGCTGCGGCAGTCCGCCTCCTGGGCAGTCGCCTCAGCCTCAATTAGTGCAGCATGAGCGGCAAAAACGCAACATGATTTAAATTGCTGTCACTGTCACTTGTCAGACAACGGCGAGAACAGCAGCACGAGCTACAAAAACAACAGACGGCGACGGAGGACAGAAGGCAGCAGATAGCAGCGATCGCAGAATGTATCTTATAGATACACGGCTGCTGACATAACAATCTGCTGGCCACCCCTTGGGCCGCCTCCAGTTTCGGCCAGAACCCAGCCCATGTGGCGTTGGTGCTGGCTAAAAATGTGCTGCTCTCTGGGATCCACCATCAGGCACCATTCCGCTGTCACTCAAGCTGTCCGAGGACTGGCTGCTCGTCTGTGGCTGGCAGAGATCAGCGGTCGCATTGGGTGCCGCAGCCATGATCCACATTCGGTTGGGCAAGATGAAATGTGTGCACATACATGCTCGCATATAGAGTGCTCCTTGTGAATTCGCATGGTGAAACTATTCCAAGCGGTTAACAATTCAGAGCACGATCTGGCTGCTATTTATGGGGGGATTGCCCGTCCCCGTCCGGCTCTTGGAATCATGATCACGATCACGATCAGTGGGTTGTGGAGCTTTCTCCACCGCACTCAACCGGAACCGATGTGTGTGTGTGCTTGGACGGTGGACAGTGGACAGTGGACAGGTTATCTGGTCACAGAAATAGCAGGCAAATAAAATCTAATCAGCATAAACAAACGAGCTTTTAATGAGCAGCGGCTGGAGGAAGTTCGAGTGCCTTATAAAGAGCTTCCGATACGAAATTCATTTGAAACACTATCAATATGGAAAAGTCGTCTGGAACACTTGTCCATCATGCTAATGAGCCCACGGCCCTCCGCTCATGTTCAATTGTCAATTGATCGCCAATTCCAATTTCGCCCAACGACTCGTCTTCTGGCGGGTAACTCTAGCCAAGCGCATAAGCCCGAACCCGAACCCGAACCCGCACCCGCACCCGCACTCAGTATGAGCCTCCTCCTCCATCTCCGCCTCCAGCCGCTCCAAGCGATCCCACACCAGCGTAACCCCACCCGCTGTTATGGTGACGGTGGCCATAATGGTTGATTTTAATTAAATATTTCTTCTTCCTGTTGTTGTTTCCCTCGTTCGCGTTTGGGTCGCTCTATGGGATGGCCATGGCGGAGGCCCCTGTCCGTGTCCCTGCCCACCATCCGCTTCCCGCT